TGATGGCTTTGTTTGTGGGTAACCAGTGGGATGAGGGGAGAAGAGATTATTTGTGAAATTTACTAAAGGAGAAAGTCATTTCTTTACATATTTCCTTTATTCTTATTTTTGTTTTGTGTTTTTACTCTTTTCCTTTTTTAAACTTTTTTGAGTTTTTAACTTTTTATGTTTTAGCTTACATTTAACTGTAAACCACCCAGAGTTGCCCTATGGTAAGATAGGCAGCAATAAAACTTATAGATATAATAAAATAATTAATTTTATTGGTGTAATCTTTAATAAAATTACTATTAAAAACAAGCAAACCAACAAAAAAGCCAGCATTGACTGCCTCCTTGGGAGGAGGGGAAAGCAATTGCTGGGTGGGCTTGCAGGCAAAATCGCTCTTCCTGGCTGCCCTCTGGCTAGAGGGGCTAAGTACACCAGTCAGCAGGCTTGCTACCCTTGCTGGACAGGGTAAACTAACAGCTATGGGGGAAGGCTGAGGCTGCCAACTCACCCGTTCCTGCCTTTCCTTCTCCTTCTCCAGATGATGGAGGCGCCACTGCTCAGCCACATGCTCCATGAAGCGCTGCCCGCTCACTAGAAAGTCCTGAGCATGCTCTTGCTCCCACAGCTCAACACGGACCCTCAGCTCCTCCTCCAACTGCATCAGAACAAGGCAGGTTAAGGTGGGGCTATCAAGAGGTCCCTGGGATGGGGAGAGTGGCTGGGTCCACTTGCCTTGGGAAGGGTTTTCTGTAGCTTGGCACGCAGCTTCTCTTCTTTCAGGAGGTTGCCTCCTCGGTTGGTGAAGCGGCTTGGATCGGTGGCCTTTTTCTACAGGGAGGAAAAGGTGAGTCTCCTGCTGCCTGGAGAGGCAGCCCAGCCCAGCCCAGCCCACAACTACCTCGAGCTCCTGAAAGAGACACCAGCTCTTCTTCCACTTGTGGATTGCTTCAAAGAGCTCTTGATGTGTTTCATAATAATGCTTCAGTCGCACAAGCTCAGCGTCATGTTGCTGCAACAACTCTTCGGTGAAGATGTCTATGAAGGAGGAAAGCATGAGGGATGGCAGGAAGGGCCACTGAAGATGGCCTCATTCACCTTCAACACTGGCTACCAACCCACCTTCATAGTAGGGGCCAAAGGAGCATCTCTGCTCTTCCCCAAAAAAGCACTTGTCCCAGTAAGTGGCCAGCTCAGCCCGAATGGCCTCTACCACCTTCTGCAGGTTCTGGCACTTCAGTTCCTCCAAGCGGTCGACTTCCAGGTGCAGCTAGAAGAGGCAGTGGGGAGGGAAGTCAAGGCAATGAAACACAAGGAAGGGCTCATTTGATGCACCCCACTCTTCCATGGAAAGGTGGCAACTTTTCAATAGGAACGTAGGCGAGAGTGCTACTCCTGGACCTTCAGGAGTCGACAGGGCCCTCGTACCCAGGAAGGGAGCCCAGCCTCTTACAGCGTCCAGAATGCTGGCTCTGGAACCCTCCATGTACGGAGCAAAGCTGTTTCTCTCTTCGGGAGGCACTTGCAGCCAGTCCCAGAGCATCCGGATGCGGCAGCGCAGTTCTTCACATACGGCCTCTTTCTGAGCTTTCCTGTCCTCCAGCTGGGAGACAGCAAAGGAACAGCCTTAGGCCTAAAGAGAACTCAAGGCAGGCAGATGGGTGCCCCCCGCAGCCCATTCCCCCAACCTGCTGCAGCAGATCCTTCAGGGCAGCCAAGTTGTTCAGGGAGAGGCAGAAGGTGCCTGTGTCCTGGCACATGGCCTCTCGCTCAAAGGCGGTGCTTGGCTCCAGCTCCAGCTCCTCCATGCAGAGGACGACCTGCTGCTTCAGGCGGACAAACTCTGCCTGCCGATGTTCCTAAGGGGAAAGGAAAGAATCAGCACCAAGCCGCCCCCCCACCCCCCCACCCTCTCTTGGAGATGGCCAGACCTTCTCAGCTGCCAAGGCTGCCAGGTGGCGCCGGAAGTGGTCCAGGTCCGCCAGGCTGGGCACGTCCTCACTGTTGCCAATGCTGTAGGGTGGTTGGCCGAGCAGACCCGCCAGCTCCTGATCGCGCTCCTGCAGGGTGCGCAATTCCTGCCGCCGCTCATGCTTCTGCTTAAGCATCACTTGCACACGGGTGCGCAGGTCTTTCTCCAGCTGCAGGATCGTGGCCTCCTCCTCCTCCTGCAAGACAGGAAGGTGACAGGCGGGCTGGGGGGCTCGGAGGGGGGGGCGGGCACCTCCACGCTGACTCACCTGGAAGGGCGCCACCTGCAGCTCCTGGCACAGCGCGGCCAGCTCCCTCCGGCACAGCGTGATGCTCTTCAGCAGCCGCTCCCGGAGGCTCTCCTCTTCCACCACCATCCGCTCAAGCAGGTCCTGCGCGGAGCCGGAGAGAAGAGCGCGCTTCAGACACCGCCCGCCGCCCCGCCGCCCCGCCGCCCCGCTGCCCCGCTCACCTTGACGTGCCTGTTGACCACCTCGGTGCGCTGCAGCCGCTGCTCCTCCGGGATGCCGATCTCCTCCCAGATGCCGCGCAGGTGGCTCAGCGCCTGGGTCAGGCAGGCCACCGACTCGTCGGCCAGGACCTCGCTGTGCAGGGAGGGAAGCAAGGCGGGGGGCGTCAGCTCGGACGCCCCCGGCCCGGTCCTCGCCCCCCCCGCCCCTCCCCCGCGGCCCGCCTCACACCTGCGTCTCATCTTGGCTGGCCAGGCGGCTCCTCGCCCGCTGCCTCTCAGTCCCGACCGTTTCTGCTTCGCGATTCAAACCCCCGCCGCGCCGCGATTGGCTCCGTCCGAGGACCCGCCCACGAGAGCTCTTCCGCGGCCAATCCGGGGGCGGCGGCGGCCACTGGGGGCGGGGCCATAAAGGCCAGCTTTACCAGAAGGGCGCCCACAGGCCCCTCTCGGTCCCCAAAGGCAGAGGACGCGTCTCTGCAGGGAGGGGCGTTGCTGGCCTGGAACGGGAGCGGCACGGAGCTGCCCCGCCCCACGGAAACCCCGAGCCCCCGCCCTGCTGTAGCTCTTCAGGGCCGGCCAGGCTTCGCCGGGTTGGGGCAACGTCGCCCCGTAGCCCGTTGTTGGCGCTAGGCTAGAAACCCGCCGTCGCCGCCTTCTAGTGCAGCCTTGGGCGACCTGAAAGCCCTTGCAAGAAAGCTGCAGGTTCGGTCCCGACCCAGACCCACGACTGAAGAGGGGAAACGGTAGTGAAAGGGGTCAGTGACCTTCCTTTGCTCCACCACGCCGCCTGGAGGCTACGGTAAAGGGGGGGCGGGAGCGCTTTTTGTTTAAATATTTTTTAATGTTTTGGGTATTTACAATAATTCCATCTTTCGTTCATACATTGTGTTGACAGGGTGGGTACATATATTTAGTACTAACAATTGTAGTTAATACTTTTCTTACCGATATAGCCATAATCACATTTTCTTTATAAGTCATTATTTCTTAAATCTATTATCTTATTCGTCTATATATTCATCTACTCAGCTTTTACTTGTTTTATTTTCTAACCATTGATAAAGTAAATCCCATACCAAGTAATATTCAGTTTCTTCTTTTAGTTTAATTGCCAGTGTTAATCTATCTCTGCACATTCAATTATTTTCTCTATCACTTTTCCCTCTGCCTGTATTTTATCGCTTTTCCAATTCTGAGCAAATACAATCCTAGCTGCTGTTAACACATGAATAGTCAAGTATACTTTTTCTTTGCTGTAACCTTCCTAATAAAAATATTTCAGGTTTAAAATCTATGTGTTGCTTTATCATTTTTTCCAACCATGTGTGGATTTTTGTCCAATATCTTTTTGCTTCGGTACGTGTCCACCACATACAGTAATACAACCCAGGTGTCTGGTGACACTTCCAGCATTTGGCTGATTTATCTTTAAATATCTTTGCCAATTTTGCTGGTGCAAAATGCCATCTGTAAAACATCTTATACAAATTTTCTTTATATGCTGTTGATGTTGTTAACTTATAATTTCTTTCCCATAGTTTCTGCCATCTATCTAATTCTATCTATACTCCATTTTTTTTTGCCCATGCTATCATGATTTCCTTTACTTGTTGTTCTAGTTTTACACCTAGTAAATAACAGTACTTTTTTTTTAATCAGCTTGTCTTCCATTCCTGTTAATATTTTATCCAGTTCTGTCAACTCCTTATGAATAGCTTTAATATCTTCTTCATATTTTGATTGTATTTGCATGTATGAATACCAATGCATATCAATCCTTTGTTCATTCTTGTTTAGTTTTGAGCTCATCCTTTTCATTCAATATATCCTTGTATCCAGTGATGGGGTTCAATTTTTTTTACTACCTGGGCCTGGCTTGGTGGGCAGGGCAGGGGAAGGATAGTATAAAATCTCCAGTCAGAGGTGGTATTTGTCGGTTCTCTAAACTACTCAAAATTTCCGCTACCGGTTGTCCAGAACTGGTCAGAACCGGCTGAATACCACCTCTGCTTGTATCTAACAATAGTTCCCATTTTTCCAGTATTTGGGTGTATCAGAGCTTCTATTGCTGATAACGAGACTGGAATTTTTAAGTAATGTTCTCTATTTTTCCCATACTAACAATAAAGCATTTCCTGCCATGTTTCTTACTTTTCCCGTACCATGAAAATGCATGCCAATCCAGTTACAAATCATGTCCCTCCAGTGTCAGCACCCTTGTATTTCTTAAAATTATCCATTCTTTTATCCAGAGTGTTGCTAACACTTGATTTCCAGTAAAAGATATCTTTTCTCTGATTAAAGGAGTCTTAAGTATTTCTTTCTTGGTTTTTGAATGGAGCACCAGCTGACACTCCCTGTCTTATATTCCTTCTTTCACCTCTAGATGGCACTGTTGCACTGGTTTATCTATTGTTATTTAAAGTCCTTCAGATTTTATATTAAAATACAAGAATTTAATGTTTTAAAGTCATGCTTCTGATTTGGGATTTGGGGAAGGTAAAGAATGAGAGCAAGCATGCACAAAGGCATCAAGGAAATAGCACAAAAGGCAATGGACCAGTAGCAGTTACATGAATTAATCTTTTATTTTGTTTTATTCCTGTGGTTTCCTGTAAGATGTTTATGTGCATTATACATGGACCCATTTATTGCAGGAAAAGTTTCCAGATAGCTGAAGGCTGAAATTTTTTTTTATTTTTTTTTGGGGGGGGGGCAGGACCCTGGGCCACTTGGGTTTTGTTTTTAGTCTATGAAGGATTTTTCTTCATTTTTCCTGGGTGAGCAGGAAAGAACTGTCTGAAATTGTGGGCTTTCTTCCTTTCACTAAAGATTCTAATTTTCTTTCACTGCTGCACACTTCTCTGCCTTGCTAGACACTTTCTCTCCCAAGGAAAGCTCCTGTTTCCAAAGAAGCACTTTTGGACTAATAAACTCCAACAGAGAAATCCCAGCAGCTCCCACCCAATGGAAGACCAGAAGGGGAAAGGTGCTCTCTGCACCTGGGAGGGTAAATGATGGTGATTAGCTGGTGGGAATACAGTTTCTCCCTGGCTGGGCAGAAGAACCAAGGTATTTTCAAGCATCCCTTTGCCTCCAGTTTGCTTCAGATGCGGTCACATCCTCATCTCCATGGTAGATTCCAGCAGGCGAGCACTGTTGGTGATGGCCGTCGTCAGGATTATGAATCGGAGCCCTGGTGGAGAGGCAAAGGTGACCCTGCAGAGAATAAAAGGCTTCCCTGCCCTGAGACCCCAGCTCAAGCCCCTTGTAAGCCTAAACTAACTATCCCATGGGACTGTGAGAAGAACTGGAAGGAGGGAGGGGACACCTGCTTGACTTCTTGAAAGAAGAGCAGGACAAAAATCCCAAAGACCCCAAACTCCAAAAGAAGCCCGATGGGAAGCTACTGCAACTGGCTTATCTGTGTAACTGGACACTGAGGGGAAACCGGTTACAAAAAGCTTACTTTTTCTCTTGATTTGCTCAAGCTTACTTTTAAAATGGCTAGAAGCAGGGCCCTCACTTCAAACTAACCTACATCACCACCCAGTTTATGTGCAGGGGCTCAGAATGTTACACCATGCAGGTCCACCACTCATTGCCCTAGTTTGGGTGCATCGCATACCTCTTTCTCTGCCAAGGAAGCGGAGAGCAGCAACCTCAGAGAAGGTGCAACCTCCTAAGAAGACTACCAGGATGACTTGCTGGGAGGCTGGAGGTCGAGGCTCTTCTGTAGCTGCAAGGAAAATGTACCTAAATCCATGCCTCCAGATCAGTTGGAAGATGCCTATGGAAGCATCCGATTGATCAGTATCCCTTCCACATTCTCCTCAGGTTGGGATCCACTCAGAGCAGAGTCCTAACAATGATTCCTTTATATCAGCATTTCCCAGAGGCAGAATGGGAATCGGGAGGGTACCAAGGACCCTGGCAGCTCTCTTAATCTCCCCAATTCTCTTGCTGATACTGCCTTTTAGATAGTTTAGCAAGATTGAGTCACCACAATTCTTGGGGGACACATGCCAGTACTTTTACTGATAATAAAATCTGCATCACGACCACTGAAGGGAACAGGCAGCATGCCCCTTTCTGTCCAGAAGGGTGAAATTGCTGGATAGAGACCCGGCTGTGGGAGCAGGACCCACAGAACATCTTTAAGCTGGAAGAACAGTGGGCCTAGCCAGCCACTTACCTGTGACAAACTCATGGCCCCCGAGCAATCTCGCCACCTCTTCCAGGCCCAGCCAGCCCCTCCGCTCCAGCACCTGAGATAAGAGTAGAATCAAGCCAGAGCTGCCGAGGGGGGGAAAAAGGAGCCCTCCCCAAACACCCCTATTAGTCCCAGCAGTCCAAAGGCTCTTAGCACCTGTTCTATTATCTTGCAACTGAGGGGCACATAGGCGCCACTGAACACGTAGGCCATGTCCCGGGGAACTTTCAGGTCGTATTCTCCATTCCCACGTGGGATCTGCATGGGAACAGGTGGTCAAAATTGGAGGCCTCTTCCCTCTCTGCCTTAACTGAATCATGAACTCACCAGACCCAGCTTCTTGCTTATAGCTCGGAAATTGTTCTTCCTGGCCAGTGAACTGAAGGCATCCGAGAGCTTCTCTGGGGGGGAAGAGGGGGGGGGGTTCTTGAAGACTGAAAATACCCATCTCTTTGTCCCTTCCCAGAAGGAGCCAGGGCACAATGGAATCCCAAAGTCCCTTACCTGCCGCTTTATCTGTCACCAGCTTGCTGACTTTGTTCTCCATAGCCGCCAGAGTCTCACCGGACACTTGCTCTGTCAAGAGCCCCAAGTGCTTCAGGTTATGGAAGGTCAGCAGGTGCTCTGGTCCATAACTCTGCCAACGGGCAGGGATGGGCATCACAGCAGAACAAGAGACAGGTGCAGAACACATTGAAAGTGAAAGCCTTGGGGAGTGGGGCAGAGCTGCACCTCCAGAAAACTGACTCAGGACCTCTCTGCTACCCAGGGGTGGGAGGAGGGCCACACGTCCAGCCTCACCTGCAGGTACTGGGTTTTCAGGGAGCGGTAGTCCTTGGGAGAAAGTCCTGGAGAAGCAGGCAGAACATGTGGGGTCAAGGCACACAGCAGGGCCTACCTGACTCAGCCCACCCTTCCGAGCCAGAACCCACCATTCTCCGTGATCGACAACAGGCACAATATTCTCAAACTCTCAATCGGGGTGACCTGTTTCCAGAAGAGGGCAGGAGAAACCAGTCAATGGATAGCCTTTCCCAGGCTTGGGCCACTTCCTCATTCCCCTCCTCTCACCTGCCGGTCAATGTGCTCTTCAATGAAGCTGATGCTCTCCCGGATATCAAACCCTTCCAGAAGAGCTGCCGAGCAAACCAGAGTGATAGCAAAGCCAGGCCCAGCCTCTCTCTCACCTTTGTTTGCCAAAGACCCCCGCGTGGCCTCTGCTTCCTAGCACCTCCCCTCCTCATGAGGCCCCTCCAGCTATCAGAAAGGAAACATCCAATGCCCACAGACCCAACCCTCAAGCTGAGAATCTTTCAGAATCAGGCTGGTGCCCAAGGCTGGCAGGAGGGAGACTTTCCCCGCTTTCATATGGAGACTCCCAAGAACAATGCGTACTGATTCCAACCTTGCTTTGGGGTAGGGTTATACGAAGTGCGGTGAGCCAAGGAAATGTAAAGGCATTTTTAAAAGTTTTTAACTAAACCTTCGATACCAAAACCGTTCAATACAGTTCTTCATGCATTCCTCTTCTTGCAGCCATGCTTACCCCACTTCATATCCTGCCTGTCATCTCTCCTCTTCCTTCATGCACTTCTTTTGCATCTGGATCTGAAATCATCTCCTCTGCAAGACCAGACCACCTCTTTGCCCACCCACTCAAGTTCCTTTGATGTTTCTCCAGATACTCCCAGCAACAAGGGAATCAATGTCCTTTTCTGCCCTTCCAGCCGCTTATTCCATACAATGGACTACATCCAATCCACTACATCCAATCCACTTCCCTTATGCAGCATTTGCAGGTTTTAAGGTTTCTGCATCCTTTCCCCCTCATCTCCAAACATTCCTCCAAAGTGTTCACCTCCTTGAGCTGGTCTTTACCATATATGTATCTTGCATCTACTCATTCTATTTTCCCTCTCAAACACAACTACCTTGATCTCTAGTACATTTTCATTTCCACGCTTGCTACATCACTATAGATGAACCCATTTTTCAATCAGCAACACAGAACTTATTGCATGCAAAAGGACATGAATGTTCATGTTCACAATCAGCAAATTCTGCTGTTGCCAAGATACTTTTTTATACATTTATCCATAAATACCTCCTGCCCACTTGCTAACCTTCCCATTGGTTCTAATGGTTTTCAGGAGAGAATTTCCATCATCTGATACCTTCCCACATTCAGTAACCAACTCCAATCCCATTATCAAATTCAGCTAGTTCGCTTGTACATTCCTTCTTACCATGTTCTGTCTTCAACAGTTCCTGGAAATCTTGTCTAGTTTTTTTCTTCATGATGGACTCACAGGCCCCAATATCTACACACATAAGGAAGATGATCAAACCAGGAGGAGAAAATATTTTCTGGAACACACCTAAAGCTACCAGTGAATCCTTCAGCACTGAGTCTTAATAACTAAAGACAGCTTGAAGCCCTCCTGCTAGGGCCAGGCCAGAGACAGGTTTTACAGAATGGTTGAAAAGGCTCCACTGCCCACATCTGGCTGGGACGGGGCAGTGGGCCATGCCAAAAAAAGAGTCCAGGGAGGTTTTGTTCCTATGATTCCTCTGCCTGGGACACTCTGACTGAGAACACTTACGGAGACTCAGCAAGCGATGTTCTTGTTTCAGGCCCTTCAGTTCTTGGGAGACAAAGTTCTTCATCTGCTTAATATCCATTCCCCGTCGTCGCTGGAAGAGAGACATTTTCCTATAGGCTGGGCCAGCCACAAATCCATCCCTTGTGGCCATTATTGCCCCATTCTAGCCTACACACATCATACTGGGCCTGCAGGTTCCGTGCCTTCTGACTCAGGAGACCAAACACGTTGGAGAAGTGCTCATTGCGGATTTCGCTGAACACCTGTAGAGAGATGCAGGCCAGACCACAGTAATCCAGAGAAGCCCCTTGCCACTCTCCCAACCATCAGGTTTCTGCTCTCAGAAACTCCTGAACTTCTGTCCAAGAGCAGAGAGAGTTTACCTTGTCTTGGGAATTCAGCAGGACTTTAATGCTTTGGTCAGAGGAGGTAACATCTGGACCAAAATCCACACTTCCTGCAGAACGTGAGTTGCTCAAGTCACTTGCCCCATGGCACTCATCTTACCACGGTCCTCTCATTAGTTGCCCAGTAATTATTCTGGATGATGGCAATCTCTGGACACCTCCAATCCAGCTTTCAGAAACTGGAGTATGCCAATGCCAGAAGCTCAAGGCTGGGGAGGAACTCACCACATTTTATGCGGAAGGTATCATCCACCAGGCCTTCGTAGATCACCTGAGAGCAAAGGGCTGTAACGTAATCCACATCTAAAAAGAGATAAACATGATGCCTCTCTTGTAACAAGAGTCCTAGGCCCAGCTCAGAAGCCAAAAGCAGTGTCTATGGGCAGAGTAGAACAACAGTGATCTGAAACTGGAGAACAGCTTCCACTTGGTACAGATACAGGGAGTTTCCAGGGTCAAGCAGACTATTTTGCCACTTCTAGCTACCAATTTCGAGCTCATTAATGTTTGCTCAAACTAAGGCACAACAGCTGCTTCTCTCTGAAATTCCAATGGCACTGGGAGTGCCTCACAATTTTGGCAATTGCTTGGGTCTCTTGCAACTTCCAGGACATGTGAAACCAAGAAATAAAATCTGTGGGAATCACTTTCTGATTTCCAAAATCCCCCCCCCCCCCCCAAAAAAAAAAAAACCTTGGGGAAAGCAAGCACCTGCACCCAAAGAAGGCTAAGCAGGAGCTCCCACTGGAACCAAGGAAAGTTTCTAGGCCGGATACCATCTCTTCCCTTTCCCCCAGACCCACCTCTGTCTATAAGGAAGACATGGCTAATCTCTGGCTTCCGATCCATGTTGTCAACCTCGCTCTCTTCTGCTATGTCACGCCAAAGCTCATGGACCATCTAGGAGAAATTAACCCATTGCACTTTATAGGACCCTTCAGGTCCTTGCAAGGATCTCCCTTGCAAGATCCTTTCCTAATGACAGGCACCTGCTTCGTCATGACAAAAGAGAGCCAACATCTTACCAACACAGAGCCAAGCTTTCAGGAACTTCTGGCTGTACTTCCAGTGCTATGGGAAGCAAGGACTGCGAGCTCTGTGGCCCTGCTCCAAGTCAGAGGGCTCCATAAGGGGCCATAGCCACCCTGGAGGGGTGGTGAAGTAAAGGGGGTTGCCCTGCAGGTCAAGGAGAATCCCATCTCTCCTCCCTGACTTCGAAATTCCACCCCCCATCCTAAGTTTAGCGGCAGCAAAATGGCTGCCATGAAGCCAGGAACAGTCTGAACACCTAAGATAGTGAAGAAGCGAAGAGACAGTGAATGGTGTGTGAACTGGGTGAGAGAATACTTTTTGTTGAAATCTGACCCCAAGGAATTTAAGGGGAATATATATCCAGAACTATTTATCAAAGCGGCGAACAGGCACCTTTGAAAAATGTCAGAGAATTTAAGAAATTTTAAAAAAATATCTACAGAAAATTGAACTTTCAAAGTAAAAAGACATGGTATCAAGAAAGCATTTTAAAATGCTGGAATAATGGACCTAAAATCTTTTTTATAAATACTGCCTACTTATTGGATTTATAATTTAAAATAATTAAGATCGAACTTGCTAGCAGAGAGGTTAAAATAGGCTGAAGAAAGAGTGCTACCTGCTGATGAGAGGGCAACTGTGCGAGTCTGGGAATAACTATCTGAAGGACTGAAAATACTCATTGGATTACATGCATCTACTCTAAGACTACTAGAAACTTGAATAAGAAACAAGAATTTCAGTTAAAAGACCTCTGAATGTTATTGAATGTTCAAAAGTGACTTGAAGAGGTGTGAAAAACACCCTGGTGTATTTAAAATTGATTTGACTGACTAGTGATTAAGCATTAAAAATTGTGATCTAGTAAGCTCTGCTTTGAATCAATGAATCCTGGACAACTGGCCAAAAAGGAGAAATATTAAACCAAATAAGTCACAATGCAAGGCGAAAAGGAGCGGAGTTTTAAATGGAATGGAGATGAAATTTCAAAGCATTAAGGACCTTTTACAGGAACAACATAAGGCGACGGTGAAAATATTTGATCATATAGACCAAAAACTGGACAATATTATACAAGGAACAAAGATCAGAACAATGAGCAAAGAAGGAATGGAGAGGAAAGCAGAACTGAGAAAACAAAAAAAAGAAGACAACAAAGAGAAGCTACTACAATTAATAATGATTAAGGAATTAAAACAGGAGGGAAATATTTTAAAGGATTTAAAAAGGGAATGGGAGAAACAAGAAGCTATTTGTGGGAAAGAGATAGGGACTAGAACAGATAGCTTTAAAATTAGATAGTGGCAAAGGGTAGAGAAGAGAGGGAAAGTTAGATTGCAGAATCAAAATATAGAGCTAGAAGAAGTAAAAGATTTAAAAGAAGAATATGGGAGGCAAGTCAAAAGAATAAGAATAAAAGTTCTGATGCGGACAAGAGATGATGGATAAAAAAAAAACAAAAGAGTAAAGGTCTTCCATGAATACAGTTTACTAAACATAGGTGAATAAATATTAGATTTATTTATGCTGGATAGCTATTTGTATACGGTGCGATAGACATTAGGATAACATTTTAGAGTGAAATATAAGAATTATGAATAAAAATTAAGCATTAATTGGAAAATTAGAGATTAAATGATGACATTAAATATGCATAGAATATTAGCAGTAAAATGCTAAAATTAATGGGCGATTAGATAATGAAAGAATATATTTTAATGTAAATATGTGTATTAACAGTAGAGACATGAATTGGATAATTGCTAAGAACATGAATAGATGTATTTTAATTATTTAAATGATTGTGATTGGTACTAGAAGCATACATTGAGATATTAGTTAATGAAAGGATAAAATTTTAACACAAACAGAAGACATAAATAAGGAAAATACAATTAAAAAGACATGTCTTTGAATATTACAATGATGGGGGAAGAATTAAAATTAGATAGAAATAAGAGAGGAACAATAGTACATATATATTAATATATCAAGATATATGAAAGAACAAGGGGGAGGTTTAGAAAATGAAGGGCGGAAGTATAAGGTATGTGTAAATAATAGGAAATAATGAAAATGAAATGTAATTGGGAGCAATAATATTATGCTTACTCGTATCAAAATACAGGTATCGCACCATTCACATACTGATATGTATAAAGAATATAAAATAAAAAACTTGACAAAAAAGAGCAAAGCTTTCAGGATAGCTTGGAAGGAAGAGCGCCTTTTACATAAACCGCTGCATTTAGTTGAAATGTGTTCTTATGGCTCAGCCAACAACAGCCTCCATGGAGCCATTTCTTTCTCTGGGGCACATGCTCTCTAAGCAACTCTACCCGCCTGGGCTGATCTGGCCGCACCTTGGCACACCGCCCAATTCCGTAAGTCTCAGTGAATGGGCCGAAGAGAGAGTTCATCAGCTGTAAACTCTGGGCCACTGTGTTGATCCACCGCTGGTCCGCTTCCTGCAAGAGTAAACGGAACCTTGGAACCTTGGAACCAGGAGGGAATAGTTGACTCTTGGAAACCCAAAACTCCACTAGCACTCAAAACAGAAATCATATTAACAGTATCAGTTAAGCATCATGACCTGCAATACGACCCAACCATTGTATCACCGATATGTGCAAATACTGAAATGTCATTACTAATTGGCAGTTAATAATTAAATGTGGCTTTTATTACAAAGATTTCTTTATACAAATACGTAAGGCTTATAATCTTATGTGAATATGTAATACTTTTCTTTAGAATATGTGTTCTGATAAATGTAAAAAAGTGATTTTTTTAAAAGATCACCTTCAAGTCCTAAAGATTGTATGTAAGAGCCACAGTGGCGCAGGTGGTTAGAATGCGGTATTGCAGGCTACTTCTGCTAACAGCTGGCAATTTGGCAGATCGAATCTCACAAGCTCAAGGTCGACTCAGCCTTCCATCCTTCTGAGGTTGGTAAAATGAGGACCCAGATTGTTGGGGGCGAGATGCTTGACTCTTAGAGAGGGCTGTAAAAGCACTGTGAAGCAGTATATAAATCTAAGTGCTATTGCTATTTGTGTGCATGTACATGGATATAGTACGTATGCCTTTGTTGACTGCCTGCAACTCCTGGGACAAGTCTTTGTAATTTTCTTCCAGGGTGAAAGTGATTTGTCCTTTCTTCCTTCTTCCTCGACTGAGAGCAACTGGTCCAGAGTTCCCCCGCTGGCTTTGCACATAAGGTGGAATTAGAACTCAAGTCTGCCAGTTTGTAGCCTGGTGCTTTAATCACTACACCAAACTGCCTCTCAAGGACTTACAAGGCGGGACCAAAATGCAACCTCCAAGACTAGTGATACCGGTGAGACAGCAGGCAAGCACCAAGACACTCATCACAGCCAGCATAAATGACCTTACTAACCAGAAAATAATCTCTGAAGAACTCGGGCAGCTCCATGCTGATGATGTCATTATCCAGAGGGAGGAGGGAGAAGGACCACTCATCCCAGGTCACATCTAGAGGGTCAGAGATATTGTTTGGATGCCTATTCTCTTATCTACCTTTCACAACCTGAGTGAATAGCCAGAGGTTTAAGTCTAGAGGAAAGGAAACCAGCAAATCATCACCTCCCATCTATTTCCATGCCCCTTTCCCCGTATTTTTGGGTTGAACAGAGGCATCCAGATGTGTTTATACCGTTCTCGAGACTTACCACCATAGATCCCTTCCTCCTCCAACACCAGCTCACATGTGTAGAACTGCAGGAGAAGACAGCCAACTTCAGGTAACCATGAAAGTGCCATACTTGGAAGCCTCAAGGACCTTAAGGGCTTCATAATCTTTCCTGGCCGAGGGCCTTCTATGGCACAAATCTCATTTACCAGCTGAGGCTCAATAATCCAGGGAAGGGTGGTGTGTGGTGCCGCCTTCAAGACACAGCATTTCTAACCAGTACCACACAAGGCCTTCACCTGAAGATTGTTCCCGGAATCTCGTTTTTTAAAAAATTTGGGACTTTAATAGTGCAGGTTTTAAGGCAGAGGTGGGGAACTGTCTGGCCTCTTTATGACTTGTAGACTTCAACTCCCAGAATTTCTGAACCAGCATGGGTGTTGAAGTTCACAAGTCATAAAAGGGCCATAGTTCCCCAACCCTGTTTTAAGGAAACAGAAAGGGAAACCTATCCCACCTTTCCTGGGCATCACAACAGCTTCTGAAACACACACACACACGCCACCAAGAAGCCACGCTACCAATGTCACTGGAATCCCAAGCTAAACTGACAAATTGAACCGGGCTGTGTGCGTGGCAGGATAAACCAGCACAGATTGAAACATCTCTTTCCAGCAACAAATAAAGGTGGTGGAGGAAACTTTTTCCAAGTGGGATAGTGCAATGCCTCTATGTTATTCCTCATCCCTTATAAGTTTCTCCCCAAAAGCTGATGCTCTAATCCGAAGTATCCACTCAGTGGGCCAGAAGTTTTGAGGACAGGAAACTGAAACCTACTTCTGCCCCCACCCCTTAGATAATCTGCCCTGGAAAGGAAAAGAGGGATTCTGCTAGGAGGCTCACTTAAATGTGAGCTGACATGTTGACCAATACCTCTACAAAGTTCAAGCCCGTGGTGACTTCCCTCACCCCCGGGCTGGGAAGCTTTTCAACTGGTACACCAGGCTAACCCAACGCTTCCGGCTGCCTGCAGCCTCCCCCCATGAGCCTCACCTTTTGCGGGCTGAAGATGATCTTGTACTTGCGCACCCGACCTGCTGCTTTGTCAGCATTGATCAATTCTGCAAGGAGCACGGAGTGAGCACTGAGTTCATGGGACCCCTCCACACACACACCCCAGGAGGTGCTCCCTGCCACTCACCTGCCACCAGCCGGACACTCGTGAGTCGTGGACGGAGCAGGAAGCATAACCTGGAGGAAAGGGCAGGATGCAGTCAGGGAGGCTCAGGTGGAGTGCCCCTGGCTCCCCCCCAGCCCACTCACTGGTCACTGGAGCTGCGCGCTGGTTTCTTCTCCAGCTTGTAGAGCTTGTGCACGTCGTGCTGCTGCATGGAGAGATGTACGTTGTCAGATGCGGGAGGGAACAAAGGAGGTGCCCACCCCCATGGACCAGAACGGGATGTTAAAGCACAGATCCTTGGCCACCCCTCTTTTGCCCCCAACTACCCATCTCAGCCTATTTTCAGCCAGCTTTCCTCCCCTGCTTGGCCTCCCACAGCCATTCTCCACAGTCAACGGGTCCCTGCCTATTCGCTCAGACACCCTTTCACACCAGCTTTTGGCTGCACCAGACAATTAGGTGGCAGGCAGATGCAATGATGCTGTGGGGGCAATGTACAATTGATGATGGGTGACTGCAGGCGATGTGAGGAGGGCAGCATGTGATGCAATATATATATTTTTGTGGTAGCGGGATTAGCAGCCTTTAGACCCATTGGGGAGGGCACAGGTGGGTGGGTGTTAAGAGGGGCCAGGGAGGAAGGGACGCCTCTAGGGAGCTTTGCAAAGACAGCTTGGCTTGCAGCTCAGTCAGCTCCAACGAAAGGAGGGAGGAGTGGCAAGGCTGGCCCAGCTCCTGGTGTTACAGGATGGGGACACAATGAGTGAAAGAAAGATTCCTTTCCTTTTAGAAAAGAAAGCATTTAGGTGCAAACAAGTATCCCAGCCAATTACCAGGAATCACTTTTTTGCAGAATGTTTCTAGTTAATCACTAGCCTGACAAATGATAAAACGCAAACCACTGTTTTGCGCCCCCCCCCCCCCCAGCGTCAAAAGCCGCTCCAGCCTTTCCCCTGCTCCCTCCTTTGGTTGGAGCTGATCGAGTTGCAAGCTTTGTCTTTGTCAAGCTCCCTAGAGGCGCCCCTCCCTTTCTCCCTGGTCCCTCCTGCTCCTCCTCCCCCTGGTCCTTGTGACAGATCGGGATGCTTTTGCACTAAATCTTTCTTTTGTATCAGACGCTGCCCCACCCGAGGCGCTGCGATCACCCAATCGTCGCTGCCCCCGCAGCATCAGTGCTTCTGCCTATCACCCGATTGGCTGGGGGCTATTTGTTGCGGGCAGCCAAAGGCGGGGTCAAAGGGTGCCTGGGCGAATGGGCAGGCACGAATGGCCAGGGACCCACTGGCCATGGAGAATAGTTGGGGGAAGAAAGCTGCCTGTCAATGGGCTGGAGGCGAAGGAGGCGCGCGTCCCAGGGTGGGAGCCTAAAGGTCCCAGACCCCTCGCGGACCCACCTTCAGGATGGAGACGTTGGCGATGCGGTCCAGCGGGCTCATCAGGTCGGCCTCCAGGAAGAGGTCCTTCTTGCCGGGCAGCTGCGGAACCGAGAATCGGGTCAGGGCCGCCCCTCGCGACCCAGCCCCGCCCCGCCCGCGCCCGCGCCCACCTGCTCGAGGAGGTAGACCAGCTGGTCCCGGGCCAGACGCTTCAGCAGGCCGAAGTCCGGCAGGTCGGACGGGCCGCGGGAGGCCATGGCGGGGGAGCCCGAGCCCCTCCCGGAAGTGCGCGGTCTGCGGCTCCGGCACTTCCCCCGCGATGCTTCCGGGCTAGCGCGCGACGCCCCTGGTAGCCAGCAGCCGCCACAGGGGCTCCTCCAGCGCCGGGCAGCTCCCGCGGAGGGGGTCGGCTACGCGTGCCGCCCAGGCGAAGTACTCGCGCACGCGCTGCTCGGACCAGCCCTCGGGCACGCGCCGGTCCAGGTCGCGCAGGTTGTACAGCTTGTCGGCCAGCGCCACCAGCCGCGCCCCGGCGCTCAGCCCCGCCGCGCGCTCCACCTGCAGGCGTTTCCGCTCGGCCTGGGGCAGCGCCTTGTTGTCGGTCAGCTCCTCCACCAGGCGCCGCACCTCCGGCCCGAAGCGCTGCTCGATCTCCGCGAAGGTGGTGTCCGTATCCTCCACCGTGTCGTGCAGCAGCGCGGCCTGCGGGGCGAGGGAGGCTCAGCGCCCGCCGGGAACCCCCCCGCCGCCGCCGCCCTCCCGGCTTACCTGCAGCACCGCCACATCGGCCACGCCGGCCTCCTGCGCCAGGATCTGCGCCACGCCTGCGGGGGAGACCGGAGGGACAGAGTTACCCCCGGCCGCGCCGCCCGCCTCGCGTCGCCCGCCTCGCGCCGCCGCCTCACCGATGGGGTGGTTGATGTAGGGCGTCCGCTCCGGATCTTTGCGCCGCTGCCCAGAGTGCTTGCGGGCCGCGAAGTCAACGGCATCCAGCAGCCTCACCGCCTCGCTACCGTTCATGGCCGGGCGGGTTCGGTCCCAGCGGAGGGGAGCGGAGCGGAAATCCGGGCGGGCAGGGCCGGAGGTCATCGGGGTCCCCGACGCCTCTGTCCGCCGGAGGGCGCCCAGCCCCGACGTCGTGGGCTGCAGAGGGGCCTTCGGGGGCGCGCAACGGCTCGCCCGCGGCGTCTCTCCGAGGACCGTGGAAGCCCCGGGCGGTTGGGCAGAGCGAAGCGGAGGCCTTTCGCCTCCTTCCAGCCGTAGGCAAAGCCTCGCCGAAAGCGGCGCCTGCCTCACTCCGGTCCGTTTCTGCCCGGGGCCGCGGAGGAATGAAGGCTGCCCTGGGAAGAGAGAGGAGCGGCGCAGGATCGCCTTCGCTCTCTTTATTTCGACTGCATCGCGCTATAGACCAGTTGTTCTTTCAGCCCACCCATCTCACACGGTTGTTGTAGGGAAAATGAGCGAAGGGCCAAAAGGTTTATTTACTTCTTTTGCACTCAGACTGCCTCCAGGAATCTCAAGTCAAAAGGAGTTCTCCTGCGATCACCTCTCCTCTCCTGAACGGCAACCAGTGTATTTATCCGTTTCTCTGGTCACGGGATGACCACTGAAGTTTGCTGTTTCCACTTCTCTGTGTTTTTATCCACACTGGTCTTTCATAAACCAAAAGCAATCTTTGGTGTGTATGTATACAAGTGAACTAGACTGTTGTTTGTCATATAATATATGTGAGTATATATTATACTTTGAGAGCTGTTCGCAACGAAGTTTCATTTTAAGGTATGCCGATTAGATTACATTCAAAGTGACAAAGTTCTAATGTTCTGACACTGCCCCAGCCTCCTGGGAATCTACTCTCTGATCTCCTCACTCTTTGTCTTTTAATGGTAGCCTCTTTTTTGTTTCCCCTTCCTTGACTTTCATGCCGCCACTGCTTTTCCTTTTACCCGTCACCTCTTCTCAGGCTCTGATGTTCCCAGGGCCTGCACGCCTAGGGCATGATCCTAAGAGCTCACCAGTCCCAAATCACCCCGGTTTGTATCCCGTGCGTGGGGGTGCCACAGCAGTCTGTGAAAAAGTCCCATGGCACCTCAACGGTCCCTAAATGAGCCGGTCGAAAGTCGAGGCCTATCCAAGCGAGGAAGACGCAGCAGCGAGCCAGTAGCTAACCGGGAAAGCAACGATTTACCGAAGATTAGGAAAAAAAGGGAACAATGCTTTTTGTGCACAATGACGTTTTATTGTTTAGGAAAAACCAAACAAGGAGGGCAACCCTGTGACATCGGTCACACATCCCCTCCCACCCCACCCCGCGCTTTCACCTAGGATCAAGGAGATCGAGAAGCGCGGCCCGCAGAGCAGAGCGCCAGGAAAAAAGCCCCGCCACTCTATGCTGCTCTTAAGGAGACGATCGAGTTCATTTCAAAACGACCTTCCCAGTATGGCCGACTTCCTGTCCGTCGTCTGCGGCCGTCTCCTACTGCCTTCTTCTAAGTCGTCCCCCAACTTCCTTTCGCGCGGACATTTTCGGCACAATTAACTTCTTGTCCGTTCACCGTGGCTATCGTGTCTTCCCCGCCCCCCCCCCCCCCATGCCTGAGAAGAACGACCTTTCTGTGGCGGGCTACTTCCCGCCCATTCTTTTTAGTCTTCCCGCCCAGTTCCTCGCGCAGCGACTTTTTCGTCCCTCGGGGATTCGAAGTTTATTATTCCGAATCATTAGTAATTGAAACGCCTCATGATGAAGATTCATACGGTATTACGAAAGCTCGAACCCTCTCGTGAAGGGACAGAAAAGCAGGCACCGCAGTCTCATTTTTTAAAAATAACTTTTGGGGGGGTGGGAACGGTTTTTTGTCGGCCGCCTTTTTAAGGGAAACAGGACACAGTGCCGTCCTGTGGTGCAGGAAGGAATAATAGGGAGAATGGGGGGGCACCCGTTTAATAGAGTTTTTTCAGGCTATTATCCCGTATCTTTATTATCAATATGTTATTAATAGGACAACACGAGACCGAAGGCCGCAATAGATGAACAGAAAAAGGTGTCTAAGTTGTGGGCTTAGAGGGTTGGGGTTGAGGTTGGAAGTTAGGGTAAGCGAGTTTAGGGTTTGTGGGTTGGGGTTGTCCGTTCACCGCGGCTAACACCCCCACCACCACCCCCGATGCCTGAGGAGAACGACCTTTCTGTGGCGGCCGACTTCCCGCCCATTCTTTTTAGTGTTCCCGCCCAATTTCCTCGCGCCGCGACTTTTTCGTCCCTCGGGGATTTGAAGTTCCGGATAATTATTAATTGAAACGCCTCATTATTAAGATTAATACGGTATTACGAAAGCTCGAACCCTCTCGTGAAGGGACAGAAAAGCAGGTACCGTAGTCACGTTTTTAAAAAAGAACTTTTTGGAGGCCATTTTTGAAACGGGCTTTTTTTTCTCGGCCGCCATTTTAAGGGAAACAGCGCCATCTTGTGGTCCTGGACGGAATAACGGGGAGAACAGGGAAAAGGGGGTGTTATCCTGTATCTTTATTATTAATACGTTCTTAATATTAATAGGACAACACGAGGCCGAAGGCATCAATCGATGAACAGGAAAAGACATCGCCCTTCAAAAGACCGAACCTGAAAGTGAGGTAAGAAGGAGAACGATGGCTTCAGTGTTAAGAGGCAGAACGGTTAAGGGGGTTAAGGGTGGGGGGTTTAGGGTTTAGCTTGGGGTGGTTGTGGTTTTGGTTGTGGTTTGGGGGCTTAAAGGGTTTGGGGGCTTAAGGGGGTTGGGGGGGTTGGGGGCTGGGGGGGGGTAAGTTTATCTCTTGAGGGAATGCTTGGATCCGAAAATGAGGAGTGTTTTCAATGTTTTCCACCCTGCGGAAGATAAAAATAAAGTTCTTTTTAAAATCTGAGCTCTGCAAAAGTTGTGTTTTCTGTCTGAAATGGGTCGGGTTTGGGGTTTGGGTGGGGTTTGGAGTTTGGGTCGGGTTTGGGTTTAGGGCAGGGGTGAGCAAACTACGTGCTGCATCCGGCCGCTGGTCTGTCCAATCCGGCCTGCCCCTGAAAAAAAATCACTGGGCATGGCGTATTGCCCTGCGGCGCGTGGCCCCCAAAGCTACAAAACAGCGCAGAGCGCTCTCGGGGTAGGAAAGAAAAGAAGAACTTTGCAAAGGCCTCGGCTGGGAGTTCGAAATCACCTTCGAGTGGGACCTCTTCGAAGGTGAGTCCCCGCCGATCCCCCTTTTTTTTCCGGAGCTTCCAGGCTTAAACTTTGCAAAGGCAAAGTTTGCAGGCGGGAGCGTCTTCCCGCCAAGGAGCGGGAAGGGTTCCGCCCAGCGGGCGGGTGGGCTGCTTGGAGCGGGCTGCTTGGAGCCACCTAAAGCTAGGCCGCTGCTGGTGGAGCCTTGCCCTGCCTTGGTGCCCCGTTTCCTGGCTCGGCGGTCCTGCTTGGGCGGCACTTTAAAAGCCCTCCTCCTCGTGTACGCGTCCGACAAGCTGCTCACCACGACGGCGGCTTCCAGCACCCGACCAACTTCCCAGGAACTTGCGGCTTGCCCTTTCCTCTCAGGCGCTCGCACCTGGCCCCGAGCCGTGCGGCGGAGGGGAAACCCGGAGTGCCGTCGGGTTGCCTCCTCCAAGCAGCCTGCCCGCCCTCCGGGCAGAACCCTTCCCGCTCCTCGGCGGGAAGACGCTCCCGCCTGCAAACTTTGTCTATGCAAAGTTTAAGCCTGGAAGCCCTGGAAACCCGAGCAACTTTCCGGCAATTTGCGGCTTCCTTTGTCCTCGCAGGCGCTTGCGCCTGGCCCTGAGCCGAGTGGCAGAGGGGAAGCC